CCATGGCTTTTGGTGCAGCTGCTCACAAACAAGCCCTGCTTTCCAAGCGAGGCAACAAAGTGTGATCCAGAGAGACCTTTCCATTGACAGAAGAAAATGAAGTTGATGAATAAATGTTCAATTGTAAAAATAAATTAACATTAATTAATCACTGAATAACACAATGTTCCCAGCATTAGTCATTCACTCTTACTGTAACAAGATCATCAGCCAGGCAGATGATATGTAAAACTCCTGAGTGTGATGTTTGCCATAGTCCTGTAAACACGAGGACTGTCTTCAGGAGGATCTGCCTCCCATACCAGTGATCTGCTTACTCATCTGCCAACACCTGAGTGCCCTTCTGAAAGCTCCAGCTACAACTGCGGCTTGTTATGGTGGGGAAGGCTCTGGCTGCTGTGCAGGTCACAGAGGACCACAGGCTTTTCTCACTCACAGTCTTGCTGTGTAAAGGCCAAGGGGATTTTTATCCCTGTGCTTTATGGAACACAACTCTTCTGCAAGGTGTTAGAGCCATTTGGAAAGCAGACTGTAATTCCCTAGAGCTTCTTGATGTTTCAGACATGTTTCAGAACAGAAAATAGGAAAAATGTGATGGAAGAGAGAGCTTGCTGCTTTAAAGTTTTGAATGTGAGATAGTGATGACAAATAACAGATTTTACCAAAATGGAAGAAAAAATAAACCAGTTGAGAGATGAAAATATTTATCTGGTTAATTAAAATAAAACAAGCAAAACCCCTAAAACCAAACAACAACCTCATTTAAAATCCTCTGTGCTGTGATCCTGACATTAAGTCACTGTAATGCTTGCTGGGTTTGTTGATGACCCATTTCTTCCCATGGCATCAGGATGCGATGTCTCAAACTGTACCCTTGCAGGACAAAGAGGATAATTAAGTATGGCTTGAGAGGAGCCATATGTTTAAAAACTTGTAAAAATGGGGAAAGCTATTGGGAAAGGGGAAAGCAAACCTTTTTATTTAGGTGCTGTTCAGTGTGTAAGTTGGGTGAAGTGGATAAACTTCCAGGTTTTTGTGCGGTTTCAGCATGGTGCAGGATAATCTGTACTCTCAGAGGGTTTTTTTGTTCACAAGTCTGAGCCATAACAACCACTTTCAAAATCAAAACTGGCAGTGATTGGCAAATCTTGAGAGGACATTTAGGGGACTCACTAGGTAGCAGTAGGACTACATTTAAGATTTTCTACTGCTCAGGCATTGTACTGTGGCTTGTTCTGCCTTTCTTTCATTCATCTTGTGTCTGTATGTGAAAGGGAGACTGCTCGTTCCAGGGCTGATCATTCAAAACCTTGCAGCAGTGCTAAAGGTTTTACACACTGATCAGGGTGTAGAAGAGTTGGTTATTAAATGTGCATCTATTTAACTCTGGCTTTATGTGGATAGCTTTACTAAGGCTTTTTCTGTGCCTTTGAATCTGAAATCCTGTCTGTGTGCATCCAGCCACTGCCTTCCTGGACCCGGGATAGGAGGTTGGTTTGTGTGGTGGGAGGCTGGGAAGGCTCCAGCCTGCTGCCCTGATGGCAAGGCCTGACTGGCCTCTAGAAGCACTAGCTCATGCTTGAGAGAGGTGGACCAAGGCGATAAATTCCATCATCGGAGAGAATCAAATGACAGTCCTTGTTCTCTCTTGGTCCTCTCTCACGCTTCTTGCATGGTGAGCCCATCTGCATTGTTTTTGGGATCAGAGAATGGTGACATTTGGCCAGCTTGGGGTTGGGTCTTGAACTGGATCAATCCGTTTTTATTTTGAAGTCTGCTTCAATGTTCATAGGAGGCGAAGGTGCATGGCTGTGAGCTTACCTGGTGAGCACCAGTGGTGTGTGCTGTCTTATGGCTATGGTCTGTTGTGCATAAGCCCTACGAAGGGATCTCGGGGAGGAGAGGATGCCTGACCATTGAGATTTGCCTGGAATGAACATGATGATGTGCTTTTCAAACTAAAAGTTTGAAAATTAGTAAATACAAAACGGTGATGTGGAGTAGCATATGGTGCGAAGTGCGGGAGAAAAGTTTCTGGTTGAGTCTGTGGGAGGTTTGTCCACATCCAATCAGATGTGAATGTTAAAAAACGGAAGAGAAGAAAAAATGCTGAATTATTAGGTTTTAGCTGATGCAAACAGATGTTCCATTTGGACATCTGGGATGCTGCCTGCGTGCACAGGAAAACATGTGGGAAGGGAAAATATCTTTTGTAGGTGTCTGCAGCATGATGGACAAAGTTGAACACAGCATACTGGACAAAGTTAAAGTCTAATAGCTCCAGTCCATATTGTACCTAGTTAAGGACTTTTCTCCCCATATTCAAACAAAATCTTATGTTAATTCTACTCCTCATATCTATAACTTTATGTTACTTAACCTGTAACGAATATCGGTAAAGAAAAAATGAATGTATGCTTTTTATACTGCAAGTGATCAAAACAGCCAGAAGTGGTTAATGTTTTATTGACAGAGAAAAAAGACTAAAAAGCACCCAAAGATCCCCTAGGTAATATAAGCAGTAGAGTGCATTCTGTAGAAGCCTTGCTTTTTGTAAAAGGGCTGAATATGTTCCTTTTGATTTTGAGTTGAAAAAAACAGTTGTTGGCAAGTTGGAATACAAACGTAGTTGCCATAGATAAAATAATAAATCATATTTCATCCTTTCTTTTATTTATAATTAAAAAAAAACCCAGCACTTGGCTATCTCCGTATGGTTCTGTGTGTGGGACTGGATGTCATTTACTGGATGCTTGTCTAATTAAGACTAGGTAAACGGCACCCACAAAGTCAGCCTGGTGAACTGTTCCACTTAATATAATACCATCCAATGAATAGATGAATTAAGGTGATAAGCAGCTGAGCAAGCTGTGCTAACTGCTTTGTACAAATGAGAAGAGTGTGATCCTAAAATGTCATCAATTATTTATTACATCAGCAACTGTAGGCAAGGACAAATTAAGAATTAAGCTTATTTTTGATGGCCAGGGTGCTCAGCATTTTCTGACTGCAACTGCAGTAGTTGTTGTTAGCTGAAAGTCATCCCTAAGGTAGATTAAAAATAAAGAACCCTGATAAATTGATGTAATCGATCTGTTTGTCTTTGAGAGTGGTCCCCAAGCTTTGCTGGCCTCTAGGTAAAATACTGAGCAAGTAAATCATTTACCAGTGGTCAACACCATGCTGTGTTCTTCCTGGCAGCCTCAATTTTAACTGTTTTAATTTTCTGTGACTCAAGCACTGGGAGGTCTTGCTGGCAACATGCTGTCTGCAAGCCACAGATCTAAAGTAAGTCTGGCAAGGCTTTTTAGACAACTGCTGTCTTGCATTAAAAACCTAGAGTGTCCCAGCTTTCAGCTTGATTAGCCACCTTTATGGCTGTAAAACCAGTGGCCTGCAAAGGAGTGACACGACACATCCTAAGGAAAGACCATGCCAAGTGACAGGCATTCAGTTCTCCAACATCCATGGTGACAGCCCGAGCACCCACTTGAAGTTTTAGTGTTTGGGTTTAATAATTCATAGCAAGTAAGAGTGGCACTATGCCAGGGACCTGATTCAGCAAGATCCCTGCGCAGGGATCCCTCCAGTGAAGGGTTTTGAGCAAGGCTACAAGACATGACTCTCTCTAGGCTGGTGCAGAATGAAGCTAAGCAGGTCTTAAGTCCTGTTTGATGTGGTTTATAACAAAACAGTACTTTTAGAAACAGGAACGTGTCTCAACAAATGTTGGGGTATTTAACAATTTTGGGTGGTTTAGATAAGTTCACTTACCTGCTGGGTTTTCAGCAGCAATTTAGCTTTCCCGGTCTGCTTTTACTCTGGTGTGGCAGTTGTGCATACAGATGTACAGATATAGTGTGTATTCTGTGGCAGTGTTGCATTTGCTCTCATCTGCTGCTGAACTCTGTGGGAACTGAAGGTGCTGAACCCTTTGTAGCATTGAGTCTGGGGAAATATGTTTATTCTTCTGAGAAGGTAGGAGAGCAGTAAATGCCTGTAGGAACGCTGTGCAGAGACAGAATATGAGAATGCAGAAGATGCTTGTACTGAGGCATGAAATACTGACCCTTCTGTGGCCCAGAAGTCTCAAATCATTATATATGATCATGTTTGTTTATATTGTAAATCTTGGGTTTTTTCCTTGGCATCTCAAGTGAGAATTATACCAGGTTCCTTAATGTAAGGAGCAGTCCCAGCCTTTTATTCAAACAATTGCATAATGGGTTTGGGGTTTAACATACTGTCAGCTTGGTAACTGCTTAGGGACCTTTGTTATCAAGGAGAAAATAGCCCTGAAAAATAATCTGATCTCTCTGGTTATAGAAGGTAAGTTTCAGTCCCTTTCATCCTCTTCTGTGAGAAGGAAGAAGAGTGGCTTGTTTGTCACGGGCAGGCAGAGTTATAGGACAGAGCTGAAACATGACAAGGTTGTCTTTGTGGAACAGAGATGCCCATGCTCACTAATCTTCATGACTGTTCTTCATCAGAAAGAGTAAAAACTAAATTATTATTTTTTTTTTTTTTAATCAGGAGTTGCATTTAATGTTGAAGAGCTTCTCCTTGCTCCAAAAATGGATGCAGGATCCTTCTGGCTTTCAGCTGAAACACAGATATAGATTTAAACTGGGTTACATTCAGGATCCCAAATAACCTGATATTCTGAAAACCAGACCACCAATAAAAAGGATGTAGTGAGAAAAATGGTTTGTGTGTGATGTATTTGATTAAGGTTTCCTGAAAGGAAGAAACTGTGGGTGTGCATATATACAGTTGTTTTCAATTGATCAATGATTTTTTTTTTTTGGTGTAACTTTAAGGCAATGAAAAGATTGTTTCTTTTTCTTGTACACTATAAAGGAACATGGTGGCAAAATGCAGATGGAGACAGTGAAGATGAACTCAGGCTTAGCTGAAGCTAACTGCTTTAGCGAGCTGCTGCAAGAAATGCACGAAGTATATGAATATGTATATTTATCAGAAATTATTTTTTTCTACAGATCCCACAGATCAGTTATGCCTCAACTGCACCAGAGTTGAGTGATGACAGGCGCTATGATTTCTTCTCACGTGTGGTTCCTCCAGATTCCTTCCAAGCACAAGCAATGGTGGACATTGTGAAAGCTTTGGGCTGGAATTATGTGTCCACTTTGGCATCTGAAGGGAATTATGGAGAAAAAGGAGTCGAGTCCTTCATGCAAATTTCCAGAGAGGCAGGTAGGCAACGCCCGCCCTCCCTCCAGAAAATGCTATAGAAGTAATGAATGTTGTTTTGTACTAAATGTTATATTATTTTTCTGGAACATATATTTGACTCTAAAGTTGCTCCAGTTCTTTGCAATCCCCTTTACTGGCTTCTAGATACTTTCATTCCAAAATTGCCTTGGAGTTTCAGAGAGTTTGAAACCTTAGTAGCTTTCAGTCATTGCTGGAGAAAATAGAAAACCTTGAGTCTTATCAAGCTCCAACTATTACACTGAATGGCATTATATTATGCTTACATGGGTAGAAGACAGATTGTAAAATGCTGAGCTTTTATCTCTCCACAGCTAGAAATTCTGTGAAGACTACTTGTTACCTGATACTTGTGTCACACTATTGCTGTTCACCTTTCAGATTGCTGCCTGATTTGTATTGCTTTTCTTTAGCATTTTTCTTGACCAATTCAGTTGAGAAAATTCATAATCTTTCACTTGAAGGCTCAAAGATTACTGGTCTGGGATATGGAGGCAACAAACTCAGTGGTATGGTATGAGGCGCATCAGACATTTAGTGTGATGCATCATGTATTTCTTGTCACTGGTTTCATTTGATGATGTCCCAGGGAGGCTGAACTGTGTCGGATAATGTCTCTTGCCAGTTAGAGATGTTCCAAGAGGACAAGGAAATGCTGTGTCTTGCCCTGGGTCAGGCTTATGGCATTGAGTTGAGCCTTCGTAATTTTGTTCACAGTAATTTCCAATTCTACAGCTTGCTTTCCTGTTCCAGTGCAAAACAGAGGAGACCTGTCCTGAAGGTGTGACTGCTTTGTCAGTGTGCTCATCCCCTTATCCCCATAACTTTTTCTTCAACATGAATAGTTCTAAGTTTCTCCAGAGATGCCAGAGCATAGGAGGACTTTAGATGGCACTTCAGGGAATAGAGGTATAAATCCCTGGGAAGCTGATTTGCTATCCAGAATCATAAATGTTTGGAAATTGAATTGTTTAAAGTTGATTTCTCTTCTGGTGAGGAAAAATAAGCAGATGACGTCCTTTGTTATTGGTGATACATGCAAGGCCCATCTCCAGAAGCTTTCAATGATATATCCTGATTGGGAACCCACCATCATTGCACAAAAATTTCTATTGTATTCCTAAAATGAACTCACAGGTCTCCCACCAGTAACTGCCCTGGTGTTGTGTTAAATACATACAGCACAATGGAATCCACAATTCCCTTACTGAAATCATAAATCACCAGCCAGATCAGTGAGTGCATGAAAGTAAAGGACTAGGACAGGCCAGGTGTCGCTCTGAAGCAGCTCTCAGAGGTTTCCATCTCCTTGGTTGCTGCAAAGCTGGTTCTACAGCATGCACACTGCTTTTGCAAATACCCTCTGCTATCGGTGAGGTGGAGCATCAGTATGCTCCCAAATAGCCAGAGATGCTCCCAATCACTTTTGGCAGCATTATCCAAGGACTGAGCAGAGAAGACGACCTCACTTTTTGAAAGAAAGGGGTTTAGAGAGGCGAATCCGGAATTATTTTATTGTATTGATATCACAGAAAGAACCTATATTTGCATAAATTTGTCTGTTCGTTTGAATGCATATTTATGTGGTATTAAAGAAAATGGTTCTTGGTTTAATACCACAGAAAGTGACAAATACCAGTGTTCATTATAATTTAAAATTGACTTTATTTGCAAATATCCACTGTTGCAAAATCATATCAGAAATGTTCTCTCTAAGTCAAGGACGAACTCTAGCTGAATAATACTGAATCATTTTATAGATCTTCTGTATTAATGACAGGAGCTGTTCATGTAGTCAACACGTAATTCAGTGTCCTTCATAAAATATAAAGCATAAAAACAACAGAATATCCTGCTTAAACTAGCTTTGTGTGCAGGTGATATAGGTCACACCTGCAAGATTAAGACAATAACAGGGATAGTGCATGAACTTTCTTTCCTGTAAGCAGCCTGCCTTGTCTGGAAACTGGAATAATCCAGTCCTCGGTGCAGCAGCTTTTCTCCTTAGGGCTGCACTGGTGTTTTTATGTTACACAGATGAAGCTTAGGTGAAGTTCTGAAGGGATTTAATACCTGTCAACAAGTTTTTGGGTTTTTAAAGCCCGGGAAGTGTAAGAAGATCCTGTTGTCTAGATGTTTAATGGAGCCACGCTGTCTGGAGATACAGGTTGATCCCCTGACCTTGATCCCCTATGAGGAAATGGCACTGTGTCCCCCACCTTCAGGGGTGGTTGTGACCATCTCTCTCAGGTGCTGTTTTGGGGAGTCTTGTTGCAATGGGATTTGCCTGTGCTCTGGGGGAGATGGTGTTGAGGGTGCAGTGGTTTGGGGTTGCTTTCCTGCTGCCTGATGTGGCTGTGTCTCCTTGGGGATATTTTATGCAAAAAAAATAATTAAGCAGGCTGCCAGGTGATTGCTGCAGTATCAGGCTTTAGAAAGAGCCTCCTGATGAAGCAATAAGCAGCAATAATTTCACTGACTCATGGCTGTGGTATAGTTAGTAGCCGCTTGATCTGTCTATGTAAACCCATTTGAATAGTACAGAGCCATGTGTCTGAACACATGAAGTGAACAGTCTGCTCTAATGAGGAACAGAAGGGACAAGAGGCTTCACAAGGTAGAGAAATTTTACCAAGATCAGTTGCACTTTGAGTCTAAATATATTTAGATGGGTTCAAGTATATGTGGCCTGACTGAGGTGTGTAATTACGCAGTACCTTTGCAAAAGATACACAGTCAAGCACGACAATGCGTGCCATGCTGTTATAACACTGCAGGGATTGGAGAAGGGATGGGGTGGTGATCCTGCTGCTGCCATGTGAGTAGATTAATGTGGTGCTTGGGGTGCCAATCAACACTCTCACTAACGGGAAAACTCATGCCAGAAGCAACAAAAATCCAGCACTGGTGGGAGGGAGCTTTTTCTGTAGGCAAAATATCTAGTTCCCCTGGAAATCAGTGAGACAGTGGATTGTCTCTTCTTCCCAGCTCAGAGGGCATATTTGTTGTACCCTGCAGTGATGTGGGGAGGACAGAGGACAGCAGAGGCGTTTAAGTGTAAGGCACGGTTTACCTCATTTCCCAGTTAGCTGTTAGTAATGCTCATCAGGAGGAGCTGCGCTATGCTTACAGCATTGTCTGCTTGATTTGTGTGTAGGCTTTGGTCTTGCTCAGGGTTTGGATGCTGGGTGGATTGCCCCAGGTCAAAGCAGACATTAAAACCCAGCAAAGCTGCAGCGAGACTTTGCAGAAACACTGCTTCTGTGTGCAAATAGACTTGCTTCTCCCCTGCTCTCAAATATGGGAGCCCAGCATGCAAGTAAATACATAACCAAAGTAGTAGCAGGATGAGCTCTGTAGCCTGGTGCAAACGAGGAAATGCAAGAGGTTCATATACAGCTCCAAGCTCTTTTTAGTCCTGGCTTCCCCATGCTGCCTGGATTGTGACAAGATGATGCAGTGCTGCCTGGTTTGCTCTCTGAGATCTTTGCTGGCTGTGAGGGTCACTGAAGTTGTATGAATCCTGCCCCCATCTTTGAGTGAGTGGAGCAATAGAGCTGGGAGAGGTGTCAGAGCAGAGGTCCTTATCTCCCCTGCGATAATGTGGCCCTTAGGACCAAGTACACCTGCCAGGAGCCGGAACAGCCCCTGACCAAAGGTAATTAGTCAAAGTTTGAGACACACCAGCAATAAGCAGTCATAATGAGCTGTCAGACCATTGCCTTGTATCTCATAATCATGTGTTTTGGCAGAAAGGAAGGTTTAGTCTATAGGTACCAGCACATTTATAATCTTTGGCCTTGAATCTGTAGCAAGTTAATTATCCTAAATTCAGTGTTTTATCCAAACTTGTTTCTACTCACCCTCACAATTTGTAAGATCTTGGTTGAATCAGGAAGTGCTATCCTTGCTTAGTTTTCAAATATGCTTTAGCATATAAAGACTTTGCTTGATCCTTTGAGTTAATAATTCTCTGCAAAGTGACTTTTATTATGAGTACTTCAAGCAAGTCTGAATATGTCATTGTGGCAGGAGATGAAGATTTGAAACATGCTCTGCAGTCTTTGGGATTAATAAATTAGGGGAATGGTCTAATTATGGAAAATCTAAAGGACAATTTCAGATTATTAATGAAACAACTGAATACTTGAATTTCAAAGATTAATTCATCTTTGATTTATTTTTTTTTAAGATTAATCTATACCAAAAGGTTAATTGCTATCTGTAAGAAATATATATATTGAAGTCATTAGCAAAAGACCACTTGAATGCCTCCTAACAGATAAATGGAAGATCTAATATGCATTTATTAATCTTTCTCTCTCCAAAAATTGCCCATTTTCACAGATGAGTACACTAGCTGCTTTGCTTGTGGAGACTTTGATGCTCATGCCACAGGCTGCAGCACAAATGGTGTAAAGAAAAGGATTCCAGATCTGCGATCCCATATGCCCGCTGTCTTTACCTCTTTCTTCTGCTTTTCTATAGCTCTCTTGTCCAACTTAATCTCAGAAATAAGTATTTCCACTCAAGAACGCTGATTTTGAGCACAGTTCTGCTTGAACTAGACCTGCTGTTGTACAAAGCATCGTGTCAGTAACAGAGTATCTCAATCTACAACCAAGTATTAGTTTTGATGACGAAGTTCTCAAACATTGGAAAGGACTGGGGAAGTAAAATGCTGGAAAAGCATGCCTTCTTTCCCTGTGTACTAAAGATACGGTAAAATGAGATTAAAGCTTGCGTACCAGCATGCTGATACGATTATATATACTGAAGTTTCTTCTGAAGACTTCTAGTTGCAGTGTTGTATTTGTTAAAGGACTATCATCACCTTGACAGAACAAAAAGCAGAGTAAACTTTAATCCACTTCAGCATAGGAAGCACAACACTTGCAACAGTCTCTTTATCGTCTTTTCTCCTTTTTTTCTTTTTTTCTGCTGAAGGATTTTAAAGATATTTTTCTTTACTTCTCTGTCTC